GGGGTTGTTCTGAAATCAGGGTCAGATGAGGCTGGGAGAGTCAGTGGCTTCCTTAGAAGTCAGTTACCACCCTAGCTGTAAGTTTGTATCCATTAATCAACCTCTTCCTATCCCCCCTCCACAATTCTACTCTCTACTTCTATGAGCTCAACTTTTTAGATTGCTACGTAACATACCAGTGTGTGACTAATTTATGGTTTATATTTAACCTCTTCTTGTTGATAGAAATTTAGGCTTCCAGTTGTTTTTATTTTAAATATTAAACAATACTTTGATAAACATCATGACGTTTTGTGCATATCTGGAAGTATTTCCATAGACGACATTTCTAAACTAGAACTCCTAGACCGAAAAGTATACATAATCTAAAGTCTGATATAGTAAAATTGATCCTCTGAAAGGCAGTATAAAATTACATACCTAATGATATTTTGGGTGTCTATTTTTCTGTCCTGCTATCAACACAGATTCTTTCAAATATTTGACAGATAGATAGAAATATTACTTTGATTTAATATTCGGTTTGCAGTCATTCTTTTACTAAGTTGAAATCATAATTACATTTAGCCTTTTTATTTCTTCTGAAATATCAGTTCAACCCTGCTCCCTGCTTTCCTTTTGGGTGCTTATTCTCTTCTTATTTACAAGTAAGAACACACTGCATGTAGAAATAACCTCTCGGTCTGTCACATAGATGGCAAATACTCTTCCTCATGAATTCTTTCTCTTTCGAATTTAGGTATGGTGCCTTTGTGTTCAGCTTTAAAACCTCTAGGTAGCAAAATTCATTCCCAGATTAATTACATCATAGGGGTCAGTAAGATTACATCTGATATAATCAACACCTGAGAGAATCCAAGGGAGTTTTAGATTTCACCAAACTCTGGCTGCACAGAAGAGAAATAGAGGCAAGTAGGGGAGAGTTGGCTGGACCCATTCTGAAGGAGCAGGTTCTATATTATTTAATACTTTGGTCCATAATACCCATTTGTTAAAGATTCAGTGATCAAGTATTGGAATTTGCTCAATCCAGAACAATAGCCTTTTTTTGGAGGTGAGGAAAAGCCCTAGAATATTGAACATTTGAGAGACTTTGGAGATCTTTGATAATCTGAACAGAATGTTGCCCATGATGAATCTCTAGGACCCTGTCAACAGAAGATGATATTTCCCTTTTGGTGGGTAAAGGAAAAGTGCTTTTCCACTATTTCCTGCTTATTTGGAACTTGTAGACAAGGGAACTGAGGTTCAAAAAAGTTAAACGTTGACTAAGAATCAAAGCCATAAATCTCGGTTCTAAAACTTGAAGAAAATCTGAAGACAGGTATTTGATCCTGATTCTCATCTTTTCTTTACGGGGATATGGGGGAATGTGTGTGTGTATATACATCTTTTCCACTAAATGGAATCATCATCCACCCAGATATTCAATCTAAGAACTAGAATGCAGGCACCACTCTATTTTCCTTACCTCCCTACCTCCCTGTTATAAATCATTAGTGGTCCTACTGGCTCTACCCTCAATATATACCCTAAATCTTTTAAAAAATTTATTTTACTTTTGATTGACAAATAATAATTGTATATATTTGTGAGGTACAATGTGATGTTTCCATACATATATACATCACAGAATGATCAAATAAGGCTAATTAGCATATCCATCACCTCACATACTTATCATTTCTTTTTGATGAGAACGTTTAAAATTTCTTTTACAAAACAGCTAGTTAGGAAAAATAAATTCTATTGATGTACAGTTGAGCTAGGCATCTATAATTAACATTAATTTATTACATGTTAACAAATATCTACAAGAGAAGAGATAAGATGTCCCCAACGCAAATAAATGATTGCATTTTATGATGTAATGATGAATATGCTAATTGTCCTGATTTGATCATCACACATTTAATTTATGTATTTATTGAAGGAAAACATCTCAAATTAAATTTAAAGTCAATTGATAAGGAACAAATTTTATACTCAAAGATTAACATCCTTAATGTAAGAAGAACTCTTAAAAGTGAATTAGAAAAATCTAAGCAGAAATTTGAAAGATGTGAGCAGATAAGTCACACACCCCGAAGAAACACCCTGGCTAATAAGAACATCCTAACATGTGGTGGTGCTGAGGGCATGGGAGCGGTGGTGCTGTCTGTCTCAGGACCCTGGGCAGATGGCTCTGTTGCTTGCCTGGTTGTGTCTTGATCATCACACATTGTACACAAGTATTGATATTCAACTCCATACCCCACAAATATGTATAATCAATTACATTTCAATAAAAAATTATTACAATGCAGAAAAAGTTAAAATCTCTTTTAGGAATTTTTAAATATACAGTATATTATTATTAACTATAGTCTCCATGCTGTGCGGTAGATCACTACAAGTCATTCTTCTGTTTAATGAAATTTTGAATCCTTTGACTAACATCTTCTCTTTCCTTGTCCTGCCTCTTCCCCACAACCCCCCAGGTTCTGGTAACCACCATTCTATTTTTTTAGATTCCACTTATAAGTGAGATCCTGCAGTGCCTGAGATCTTTCTGTGCCTGGATTATCTCACTTAGCATAATGAAATGACTATGTCAAAGAGATATTTGCATTCCTATGATCATTGCAGCATTATTCACAATAGACAAGATATAGAATCAACATAAGTGTCCATCAATGGATGAATGATTAAAGAAAATGTGGTAGATATACACAATGGAATACTATTCAGCCTTAAAAGAGGAGATCTTGTCATTTGCAACAACATGAATAAATCTGGAAGATACTGTGTGAAGCGAAATAAGCCAGGCACAGAAAAACAAATGCCTCATGATGTGACGTTTATGTGGGATCTAAAAAAGTCAAACCAATGAAACTTTGAATCCTTTGACTAACATCTTCTCTTTCCTTGTCCCGCCTCCTCTCCCCAACCCCCCAGGTTCTGGTAACCACCATTCTATTCTTTTAGATTCCACTTATAAGTGAGATCCTGCAGTGCCTGAGATTTTTCTGTGCCTGGATTATTTCACTTAGCATAATGAAATGACTATATCAAAGAGATATTTGCATTCCTATGATCATTGCAGCATTATTCACAATAGACAAGATATAGNTAAAAAATTATTACAATGCAGAAAAAGTTAAAATCTCTTTTAGGAATTTTTAAATATACAGTATATTATTATTAACTATAGTCTCCATGCTGTGCGGTAGATCACTACAAGTCATTCTTCTGTTTAATGAATTTTCGAATCCTTTGACTCACATCTTCTCTTTCCTTGTCCTGCCTCTTCCCCACAACCCCCCAGGTTCTGGTAACCACCATTCTATTTTTTTAGATTCCACTTATAAGTGAGATCCTGCAGTGCCTGAGATCTTTCTGTGCCTGGATTATCTCACTTAGCATAATGAAATGACTATGTCAAAGAGATATTTGCATTCCTATGATCATTGCAGCATTATTCACAATAGACAAGATATAGAATCAACATAAGTGTCCATCAATGGATGAATGATTAAAGAAAATGTGGTAGATATACACAATGGAATACTATTCAGCCTTAAAAGAGGAGATCTTGTCATTTGCAGCAACATGGATAAATCTGGAAGATACTGTGTGAAGCGAAATAAGCCAGGCACAGAAAAACAAATGCCTCATGATGTGACGTTTATGTGGGATCTAAAAAAGTCAAACTCATAGAAGTAGACAGTAGAATAGTGGTTAGCATTTATTTTATTTCTAGTGCTACATTCTAGTCTACTAACTATCAGTTTTCACTTAGATGACAGTAGTGGATTCCTACCTGGTCTCCCTGCCTTCTTTCTTGTGCCAATGTACCATAACACATTATCCACAGAACAGTGAACTTTTAAAAATGTAAATTATGGCTTCTTGTTCCTTTCCTTTCAAAACAAAGAATTCATCATCTCGCCCCTCCCCACACATGGGTTTACCCCCTACCAGGTGCCTTGGTCACTCTAGAACGTTCTCACTCCTGTCTCAGGACATTTGCACTTGCTTTCCACCTGCTTGAAAGCATATTTTTCTACATCATGGACTGACTTCTTCTCATGGTTAAGCTGTCAACTCTCAGTGCAAAAACCTCTACTGATCCCTTCTCTGCCCCCTTCTAAAGGCATTCTCAATCTCTCTTGTGTCATTCTGTATTTTTTTATCTGTACATGTTATCAAACTATTGAACTGCCTCTACCTTTTGCTACTTTTTGCCACCCCATTCCCATGAAAAAGTAAGACCTTGGGAGGCAGAGATTGTTTATCTTGTTCAAGACTTTACATTAGGAACTTCATTGTTGAATCATTGCTAACTCTGAAATTCATTCAGACCATTGTTTTGTTTTGTTTTTTGTTTTGGTTTGTTTTTTGCTTCTCTTCTGCTTCAGGCCACAGAAAAAAATACAGAGAGAGAATGAGGGCTAAAATACTGGCCATATGGGACAATATCCCTTGGCCTGAAGACCATATATATCTCCGTAATACAACAGAGCAGGAACATGAAGAACTGAAGAACATACTGGATCCCAATGGGACTGGAGCCCAGGCCCAGACAATAGTCTTGGAGGGTAGGGCAGGGGTGGGAAAGACCACCCTGGCTATGAAGGCCATGTTGCATTGGGCAGATGGCCTTCTCTTTCAGCATAGGTTCTCCTATGTTTTCTATCTCAGCTGCCATAAGATGAAAGACATGGAGGAGGTCACCTTTGCTGACCTGCTTTCTTGCGACTGGCCCGACTTTCAGGCCCCCATTGAAGAGTTCATGTCTCAGCCCGAGAGGCTCCTGTTCATTGTTGATGGCTTTGAGGAAATGACTATGCCTGAATTACACCCTTATAACTTGGATGACAACCTGCCGTGTGCAGACTGGTATCAGAAACTCCCAGTGACCAAAATCCTACTCAGCTTGTTAAAGAAAGAGTTGGTTCCTCTGGCCACCTTAGTTATCACGACCAGGACCTTTAATTTGAAAGATCTTCAGAATCTATTAGTGAATCCGTGTTTTGTAGAAATCACAGGGTTTGAAGGGGACAACCAGGAAGAGTATTTCGTCAGGCACTTTGGTGACCCCAAAAAAGCCAAGAAAATCTTGCGTCAGATAAGAAAAAATGAAACTGTCTTTAATTCCTTCTGTGCTCCCATGTTGTGCTGGGCTGTATGTTCCTGTCTGAAGCAGCAGAAGGCAAGACATTGTGATCTCCAGCCAATCACCCAGACTACCACCAGTCTGTATGCCTATTTTTTCTCCACCTTGTTCTCAACAGCAGAGGTGAGATTGGCAGAGCAGAGCTGGCCGGGACAATGGAGGGTCCTCTGTGCTCTGGCTGCAGAGGGGATGTGGTCTATGACCTTCTCGTTTAGAAAAGAGGACACCCGGTACAGGTGCCTGGAAGCACGTTTTATTGATTCTCTCTTCAGGTTCAATATTCTTCGAAAGGTCAGTGACTGTGAAGATTGCATTACCTTCACTCACTCAAGTTTCCAGGAGTTCTTTGCAGCCATGTTCTATGTGCTAGAGGAAACTGAAGGGTCCCTTGATGGTTCCACAAAACTTAAAGAGATGAAGATTCTACTGAGTGCTGTCTTCGTTGACAGAAACTTCTATTGGACTCCACTGGTTCTTTTCTTCTTCGGTCTTTTAAAAAAAGACCTAGCAAGAGAATTGGAGAATACTTTGCATTGTAAACTATCTCCCAGGATAATGGAGGAATTATTAGAATGGGGAGAAGAGCTAGATAAGCCTGAAACTGTCTCTATGCAATTTGACGTCCTACAATTTTTTCGCTGTTTACATGAGACTCAGGAGGAAGACTTTGTAAGGAAGATGTTGGGTCACATCTTTGAAGCTGACCTTGATATTTTGGGAAACATAGAACTCCGCGTTTCCTCGTTTTGCCTAATGCACTGTCAAAGGTTGAATAAACTAAGGCTGTCTGTCAGCAGTACCATCCTTCAAAGGGAATTGACTTCTGATGTGGAAACTCTGGAGTGAGTAATGCAAAACCATTTTTTCCCCATTAATTTTCTACTGTCTTCTCAGGCTCTGCCCAAGTTCTTTCATGAAAAACTGGGATCTTTTGTTGTTGTTATGTAACAGAGGTTATGTCTGACCAAACATTCCAGATCAGCTTCAACGTGTGAGAATATTTTTCTTTAGGTATCATGTAGGGTTCCCTGGCTGATTTAATCTACTTAGAAGTAGATCTTACATCTTAGGTACTGCATATAGGAGGTTTATGTTCCAGACATTATGCTAAGACATCTACTTGCATCTATCTTATGCTCATAACTGAATGCAGGGGGTGCTGTTTATTGCCATTCATAGATGAGAAAGCTGAAGGATAAAAACACAACTTGTCTGTTGCAGTGTGGCTATTAAACAGGGCAGTGTGTATCAATGCCCAGCTTTCTCTTTGAGCACTCCGGATCTTAAATACAGTGCTGGATGCCTCTCCACTGAGCATGAGTTGGGGTGGGGGTAGTAGGAGGGTTCAAGGTTATCAACAAAATTCTGAAACTTGTTTAGACCGGTTTGTCCTATTGTCTCCTGGAAGAAGAAGCCCAGAAATACTTGAAGTACTTTTGGTTCTTATCCTATGACTTTTTTCCACTACTGACTCTGTAGACTCCAAGTTTAGGAGACAAGAAAGCCTGACTATTTTGCTAATTATGTAGGCCCCAGGGATGTTTTCTAAACTTCTCTTTTGAGATAGGAGCTACTATACACGTTCTCATATCTCCTCTGTTTAACCTTCAGGCCTACGAGAAGCACCAGTTCAATTTCGGTTAAACACATTGAATTTATTAAAAAAAAAAAACCAACAAAAAAAAACGTTTTATTGAAGTATAACATACATAGAGAAAACAGCACACATCATAAGTGCACAGTGAATTTTAACATGTTCCGCACACTGTAGCAACTGGGCAGAGGATCTAGAAACAGAACACCGTCAGCACCACAAGAACCCCCTTCATGGCCCTCTATTTGAACATATACAATTTTACATTTCTCTTATTTATCTATATCACAACATCTTTTTTCCCAACATTTGCTGACTTGTCACATATAGATCAGGAAGGGAGAAGAGCTTTTCTGATCTTCTGAGTCATATTAATTAGTACCTTTCTAGAATCCTTGAATATGGCATTGTAATGTCCTATGAAGCTTTGCAAATTCATCAATATCTTGTTAAAACTAGGCTCATTTTTATACAGATCTCTCTAGAGGCTCAAATAAGGCTCCTTTATATATTTCACACAATAAAAATCTGGTTTCATAAGATTAGTCTAAATGGCATGGGTCTATCTATCAACACCCTAGTTTTGTGAAATACTATCAAAGCCACTTATGAATTTTATCTGATTAAGGCCTTGGGGGTGAAGAGGATATTGGTGGAAGAAAAATGTTCATTACAAAATTTTTTCCTTAGAGGCTTTTAGAAGTAAGTAGGTTCTCCTCTTCAATCCCTCTATATTTCAAAAGAAATCTTATTTTTTAAAATTTATTTTTAAATGACAAGTAATAATTATGCATATTTACAGCATAAATGTGATATTTTGATCTATGTATACATTACAGAAAGATCCAGTCAAGCTAATTATCGTATCTATCACCTCACCAATTGCACATTTTTATATGGTGTGAACACTAAAAATCTATTATTAACAACTTCGCAATATACAGTACATTAACTGTGGCCACCATGCAGTGCAATAGATCACTAAAATTTATTCCTCCACTCTAACTGAAACTTTGTATCCTTTGACTAATATCTTCCCTTTTCCCATCCCTCCTCCTGCTCCCACCAGCTTCTGCAACCACTATTCTACTCTCTGCTTCTATGAGTCTGACTTTTTTTCCCACATGTAAGTGAGATCATATAGTATTTGTCTCTTTGTGCCTGGCTTACTTCACTTAACACAGTATCTTCCAGGTTTATCCATGTTTTTGCATATGACAGGACTTCCTTCTTTTTTAAGGCTGTATAGTATTCTATTGTGTATATATACCACATTTTCTTTATCCCAGTATTATTTAGCACAAAACAGGCACATGTGCTTTATCACAGAATGGCTAAGTTCAGGGACATTAAATCACACTGGTTTCAGCTCTTAATTACTATCCTGGGGATATTTTGATTAGTAGATCCAAGACAGGTCCCAGAAATCTTTATTAAAAATTTGCATGTGTGTGCACACATGCACATATGCACATACACTCAAGGTTGAAGACAACTACTCAACCAATGCCACAACTCTAGATCACAAGAGCATAACTTCATAT